ATTTAATTTACTTGAATATATTAATTAAGCTACAATTATTACAAACTACGAATCCATGTTCTCGGAAATGTAAACACGCTTCGAGCAGAAGTTCATTGGCTTGTGAACGAAGACACACGAAAATAAAATAAAATGAGATTTTACCTCTGAATGTAAGGAATTATTTTATCACGTATAACTACCTATACATTTTTTTTTATGAATTTTCAATATCGTGAGAATAATCGACTATTAATCATTATGGTCCAATAACACTGTTAAAAATGGATTATTATAGTAATTTATTATTATGCAGTAATTAAATATCGATAGAAATAAATAAGTATTTAATTAATATTGGAACAATGATGAAATTTGGAGTAAAATGAATTAAAACCCCAGATAACACCAGCATCCGCGTGCGCTCAATACGCTCACTTCCGATGACTGCTGACTGGCTCTGTCACACGAAATCGAGGTCTGACTCATTTTTTCATCAATTATACATGAAAATAAAGCAGCCCACAAATTTTCAGCCTTTAGAAAACTCTTGCGACGATGTAGACATTTCTACAACTTCGGCGCTCTGCTGACTTGCAGCGTCACTTAGTTGTCATCACTACCACTCGAATTTGCAAATTAAAATGAAGTTAATTACCAATTTTCAACCATTAAAAAACTTTTGTAGTGCATGTGCTGGTTCTACATAGTTCAAAGCGTGCCACCGCCAAACGCAGCGCTCCCTAACTTTGCGACTATCTTTTATTAAACAATTAGGACATTCGGCTCGTGGACCAAAAAAATTGGGAACCCCTGCTTTAGAAGATATGAATACCGTCACTGTAAAAAAATGCCAACTCTGTATAAATTAATTTTAATCTCGATATTTTTGGAGATTCTCATGATGTTATTTTTATCCTTTGATAATAATATAAAATTATTTGTTGCTCACGATAAAAGTTACTTTTTTTGTTAACTATTGAGTCTAATTTGATTAATGATTGTTGATTATGGTTGTTAGTTTTAGCTCACAATTTCTTAAGTTCCTAATTTCCATAATCACAATTTTTAGGTATTTGACGTGTTGTTTAACTCATTTCTTTCGTGTAAAAAATACATCGCGTGTGTACAACACTTTTAAAGCGCACTAATTATAAAAATAGCTAATGTATTGATACATTATAATAACTATGAAAAATGCTTGCACTGGTTTCATTTAACAATTTTAATCAAACGGATGTGACTGTTGGAAGCAAATTTTATTTTTATTGTCAGTTTTGAGTTTTTTAGTACAGTCATGTCAGTATCGTGTTGTGTAATTTTTATAATAAATCAAGACTGTTTAAAACAGTGATGGAACCGTATTTAAAATTACTAATTATTGTAAGTTCACTGACAAAATAAACTCCTGGACAAAATTAACACAACATCATAAATTTGCCACATTTTTGATGCTATTTTTTTGTTCGAATTTATGATCCGATTTGAATCATTTTTTTTTGCATTATAGGTTAGTTCCTTGACAATGTAATGATTTTCGCTGTTTATGATAAAAACATTTAAACGAGTGTAATAAAAATGTAATGTTTTTTTCCGACAAATTTGTATCACCCTGCGGAGTATACTAGCAACCAAAACATATAGCAGTTGACATTAGACGGTAGATCTATCTTTCGCCAACATTTCCTTTTTTTGTTTACTTCATTACCTCTGTTATTAAAGGAGATAAGCCGTTTTATAGCGCAACATATTTTAATAGACTCTATTATTCAAAACATTCATTGTCAAATGTTTTCAAGTAGGCTATGGACCTTTTTCGATATTTCAAGCAATGTGTCAACAGATGTTGAGTTTTAAAGTTACAAAGGTCAAATAAAATTTGCCATACTGATAAAAACTGTTCAGAAACTGCTTATTTTAAACGTCCGTTTCGTATACCCAGTTGCCCGACCAATATTTTAATCTTGAAAAATGAATCGTCCAAAAAATTTATCGGCAGAAGAAGCAGTAAGAGCCTTAACTTTGGTGGATGAGAGCTATTCGATGTGTCATGTTTCTCATGTGACAGGAAGACATCGTTCGACTATAAGTCGTATGGTTTAACGAGAGAGGATATTAATCTTAAAGGTCAGGTCAAGGACGAAAACGATGTACCGATCCAAGGGATGAACATTTTATTAGGGAAACTGCTCTAAGAAACAGGAAGATCATTAGTACTCTGCTAAATAGTGAGCCTAGAACTGCTCGCCATCAAACAATATTATCTCGAACAATCAAGAGACGTTCAAATGAGGCTCATCAGAGAAGCACAGTTGCAAGATTGCGATTTGCCAGAAATTATTATTATTGGAATGTTAATGATTGGCAGAAGGTTTTATTTTCTGATGAAAGGAGAGTTAGTCTCAATTCACTTGATGGGCGTGGACGTGTTTGGCGAAGGGCAGGAGAGAGATAGATTTGCAAGTTGCAATATCTCTTTAAAAATCCCGTTTGTTTGGTGGAGGCTCTGTAATGTTTTGGGGAGAAATATGCTTCAACGGACACACAGAGCTAGTCCCTATACGTGTAAGATCAATGAGCGCCGAATATTATCTAAAAAATATTGTGATTGATCATTTTAAGCCATTTTTTCCGTTTTTGGAACCAAATAGTTTATTTATGCAGGATAATGCTCGTCTCCACGTGGCTAGACAAGTTATAGAGTACATGAACTCTGTAGCTATTCCGTTGATGGAATGGCCACCTTGCAGTTCCGATTTAAATCCCATAAAGCATCTTTGGGATGCTCTTAAAAGAAAAATTCAAAGTCGCAATTCCGTACCGATAAGGCACAATCAATTGGTGGATGCAGTAATTGCCGAATGGGAGGATATTCCCAAGATACAATTAAAAATTTAATTTCCAGTATGCCGAGGCGTGTGAATACAGTGATTCGAGGTAAAGGCGGAAATACACGTTATTAACATTATAAATCGATTAATTATATTATTTTCGATTTTTGTTTTTTTCATGTTTCAAACGTTTCAAAAAAAAAAATTTGTTTAATAAACTAACAATTATAATCTTAATTAAATAAGGTAACTCGTTAATTTTGTTTTCATTTATAAAAGCGAGCAGAAATTATACAGTTATACAGATAACAAATAATGTATTCGATATTGATACATCGCTTGAAATGTCAGAAAAGGTCCATAGCCTACTTGAAAACATTTAACAACGAATGATTTGAATAATAAAGCCTATTATAACATGTTACGCTAGCCGGAGAGGCTAGCTGCGAGCTTAGTGTGCATCCACATACTCGCAACAGTTAAGCAGTGAGCTCTCCGGTCACGTCGTGGATGGGTGACCGCTGGGAGGTTCCACCATGGGCCGTGTCACCATGGGATTGATTCATCCAACCAGCGTTTAACCATCGACGACGTGGAATGAATGAGAATGAATGAGAATGAATGAGGGTGTGAATGGGAAAGTAGTAGGACCTTCAAATGGTAGTACAATAAGCCGCAGGCTGCAGTGCTGCCAGACTACAGACGGATTAGGGTGTAGCACGGGAGGTCTGAAGGGTGTAAAACTAAAAAAAAAAAAAAAAACATGTTACGCTATAAAATGGCGTTATCTCCTTTAATAACAGTGGTAATGAAGTAAATTAAAAAAGAAAATGTTGGCGAAAGATGGACCTACCGTCTAATGTCAACTGACATGTTTCGGTTGCTAGTATACTCCACAGGGTGATACGAATTTTCGGATAAAAACATTACATTTTTATTACACCCGGTATAAATCGAAAAGGAACTTTTTATCATAAACAGTGAAAATTATGACATTGTCAAGGAATCAACCTATAATACAGAAAAATATAATTCAAATCGGATCATAAATTCAAGAAAAAAAAAATTGAATCAAAATTGTGGTGAAGAACCCCGCACAAATCTTATGGAAATTGGCTCCCGGTCAAATTGGCTGAAATTTGGATGTGTTGTTCGTTTTGGCATCCTGAGCAAAAGTCTCAATGGACACAAAGCTCAATTTTGCTTATTTTGGCTCCTATGGAGCTCCAAAGCTCTACGGATTGACCATTAATCACTACTTAAAAAGGCAATCTCCTCGAAAGTTTAGTATTTGTTGCGTTAAAAAAGAAGTACCTTCTTATGTTTTCGGGGTCGCTGCATTCAAATCCAATGCCAATATAATAATATTGATAGTTGACAGCTGTCAACTAACTGTCAAACAGTATGTGACAATCAAAATTGACAAAATTCAGGAGTTAATAGATGTTTTCGAGGTTGCTGAGTTCAAAACTGATGTCAAAAAGACGATATTGACAGTTAAAAGCTGTCAACTAACTGGAAAACAGCATGTGACAATCAAAATTGATAAAATCAATATGTAAATATATGTCTTCGAGGTTGCCTAGTTCAAAATTGATGTTAAAAAGGCGATATTGACAGCTGATCAATGTCAATATTATTATATTGGCATTGGAGTTGAATGCAGCGTCCCCGAAAACATAAGAAGGTACTTCTTTTTTGACGCAGAAAATACTAAACTTTCGAGGAGATTGTCTTTTTAAGTAGTAAATAATGGTGTTAATCCGTGGAGTTTTGAAGCTCCATAGGAGCCAAAATAAGCAAAATTAAGCTTTGTGCCCATTAAGACTTTAGCTAAGGATGCCGAAACGAACAACATATCCAAATTTTAGCCAGTTTGACCGGAAGCCAATTTCCATAAGATTTGTGCGGGGTTCTTTATGATGTTGCGTTATTTTTGTCAGGAGTTTATATTTTTATATAGCCAACCTTCCTTTCTTCGATAAAAACTTCTAAAAGCAATGTATTGATTTTAAAACCAAAACTTGGCCATCAAATCCACTATTGTTGCACAAAATACTATTTTTAAGTACAATTTACTATCAATTTATCAAAACATTTTCTGCTATCCTTCTGAACTTGTTTGATTTATTTTTGATTAATTAGTGCAATTTCATTTAATACAGTTTTTTGATATCATTAATAACTCACCGTTCGTAAAAATTAGAAGGAAAACAATCTGGAGCAACTCTGGGAGGTTTTTTCTTTCCAAACCCCGGAAAATTGCCCATACCATCGGCGTACTGGCCTTTCGAATTTCTCCTTCCTCCCACTGTTAATTCGTCCACGTACGAAACGAGCGTTTGCCAAGGTTTATCTCCGCCATCGAATATATTATCGCAGTTTTTCTGTCTCGGCGTTCGCTGTTCTTCATTCTCCGAGTCCACTGAAGTACATTGTGTGTTGCTTTTTGGATTTATAAGGCTGGTTTCCTCTGAAAAAAGAGACATACCGTTTTATTGCTACTAAGATTAGATACATTTATTTTGAATTGAGAATAATATGAGGAAAACAACATCATTTTGAAAGAAAATAAATATAATTTAGATAAGTTGTAATGGGGCATGTTCAAAAATTTTGAAATTTTTTTTATGAATAGTAGAGTTAAAAATAAAACTACATTTTTTTTATTTTTTTTTTATCTATTCATTTGCCGGAGTTATGATTTTTTTTTAAATTTATGACGTCACCGGGAATAGACCAATAGGAGCTAGCGCACAACGTTGCCGGCTAGAAGGTTTACGAGAAGTGATGTACGTTCGTTTGTGTACTCCTTCTTACTTTTAGACTTCTAAAACATCGTTAAACAAATATCTTTTAAATATATAATATCAAATGTTTTTTGAAAGTATTGTTTCTGTTTAAACTTTTACTATATTTAAAGTTTTATTGTTTTAAAAGTCACTTAATAATTCAGAAAATGGCAAAACGGCAGCACTGTATGTCATCTGTCATAGTGTCTCCATCAATAATTTATTTGGAATTTGAGTGTTTATTTTGTACTTTTTATAAATAAATATTATGACTACGAAAAAGTGTTTTGTTCCAGAATGTGATAATGATTCACATTCATCTTCAAAAATATTTATTAGTATTCCTAGAAATTTGGAAAGAAGAAAATCAACCTTCTACTAGCGATGTTTCTCGTAAACTTTTTAATAAAAATACACCGGATTATCAAGATGTAGCAGCAATTTCTGCTAATTGTCCCCTTCAGGAAATTGAAAATGAGGCTACTATAAATTCTTAGGTGTATAACCTAAAAACCCTTCTGGAAGAAAATGCAGAATCTCCTGAAAGTTTTGAAGATACCGAATTTATTCATCATTTTGTGGAAGAACTAGTGATAAAGAAATAATAGAAAAAATGTGGGTATTTAAACAAACTGGTTCCTGGATCCCATATAATGGCAGATAGGGGTTTCAGAATATTTAGCTACTTGAAAACATGGGATGCACTTTAGTAAAGCCACACCTAGTGTATCACAGAATGAAAAAAGTTCTCCAGAAGATGTACAATTAAGTAAAAGAATAGCATCTCTAAGAATACATGTGGAAAGAGTTATAAGAAGGGTTAGTTAATTTAACAAGTTAAAACCACATTCGTGTGTGAATTTTAAGCAAGTACATTTACTTAGTAATATCTGCATAATTGCTTGTTAACTTACAAGAACCTATTTTGTAAGAGTAAATATTAATTTAATAATTTTTTTTTGTTTGTTTTTTTAATTTAATTTACCTAATTATCACATTTCAGGGATTATAATGAGTTTTTAAACAGCCAATGTAATTTTTTATAAAATTTTAACTTTTCGAACAAATCAAAGAGGAATGAGTACTTGTATATGCATAGATTTTTTGGGACTAAAACTACCAAAACAAAGGCACCTATTTACAGCAGTTTAAAATGAAACATTTTGACAATAACGCCTATGACACAGTGATAAATATTAAAAACAACAAAGTTCAGTTGAATGTGGTAGCAAAGTCTATATATTCCAATAAATCGGGTAACTACATGTGGTATCACTGGTGAAAAATTTAAAAATATCACAATTCTTGCTACCTTTTTCAAAAAACCAGAAAGTGTGCCTTCTTATCAATCCTTTATGAAAATGACAACAGTGATAAATGTAAAAAAAAAATTTAATGTTGCTATTCGTTATTACGATAGTAAAACATGTTTGCAGTTCCGTTTATTTTTTATGAAAATCTAAGTAAAAACAACCAATGTCAAAGGGTTATAATTTTTTTTCTGTTGAACCAAATATATCACAAAATTTAAAAATTGATCATAGGTCAAGCAAGTAATACCTTTATTGATAGTAGCTTTAAAAAAGGAGAAAGAATAATATTGACTTAAATTATTATTATTAACATTGGTGATTTTTAATAAAAACTCTTCAATTATTGTTTACAAACAAAAATATAAAAATCTGTGAAAATTTTATTAATTAATCTTTTATTAAAAAATGAGAAAAATGAAGTAAAAAAACAATTTATTTACAAATAAAAAATATATATACAAATCCTAAGAATATAAAAGTACTGATTTATTTTCCTGTAGTGGATGAAGAGGTTTCTTTAACAATCTAGCCAAGTGTACATCAATATTTACGCATTTTGATAAATTAGAGCCTTTCCAATAACACTGAATAGATGTTACAGATGGTTCCTCACTTCTTCTATGAAGCCACATATTTACAACCAACTGAAAAAAATAAAAGGGTTAGATATGCAGTTACAAAATAACTATATAACCAGCTACAAAATGCCTTTATTTTATGTAACAAGACGAGCAGAGCTTTACTAGCTCTGAACGAATTCAGTAAAGAACCTCGGATTTTCAAAACTTAAAAAAAACAATCTCACCACATTTTCACATTTTTGAAATATTATAGAGCTTTTCGAAAAAAAACTGCTATTTTTAAAAATACAATTTGTTTAAACAGCTATGTCTCATTTTAGGCTGAGTATTATAAAATAAAAAATTACGGGATGCTTTGTTAGCTTCAAACGAATCCAGCAGAGCACCCCAGTTTTTTTTTAAACCACACCACGTTTTTTGGCTTCTACAATATTATAAAATATTCGAAATTTGGCATTTTAAAAAAAATTCGCAATTCCTTGCTGACTTCAAAGTTTTTTTGTGTCCTGCTGACTTTGTTCCAACAAAGCACCCTGTATTATTTAAAAATAGCAATTTTTTTAGTAAAGTTTTACAATATTTCAAGAGTCTAAAAATATTCTAAAAATGGGGTGTGGTTCTTAGAAAAAAGCTTTAAAAAACCGAATTGCTCTGCTGGCTTCTTTCGAAGGTTAGCAAGCACCATGTATTTTTAAAAATATAATATTTCAAGTGCATAAATATATGGTGTTGCTGTTTTTACAGAAAAAACTTTATAAAATAGAGGTGCTTTGCTGACTTTGTTCGAAGCTATAGAGCATTTTAAGTTTTGCAAAAAACGAGGAGCATAAAATTTTTGAAAAGGGTATAAAAATAGCCTAAAAATATGGCATATTTTTTAACTCAAAATTTCATAGGTGCTCTGCAGCATTCTTTGGTATCATAATTATTACTAGGTTCACTAACAAAATCTGTTTCTAGATTATTTTAACACTTGCTGCGATTACAAAAAATGTCTATATGTCAAAATTAGAAAAAAAATATTTATAGGAATAAAGGGCCTTATACACTGTTTATTATATGTAATATAAAAACAAAAAAGCATAATAAATATTACAAACCTTGACATGCAGCATATCCTAAGCATATTGTGCACTAAAAATTTCATTTTTGTTAATTACAATGCAACCACATCCGAAGGTTTTTGCCTTACTTTATGTTTAGGTGTAATTTGTCTCCTTCTCTCTTATGGAAAAAGAAATTATCCCCATATTCTTGCTTGGCAGATCTAAAAATAAAACCTGAGATAAATATGTTTTACTTGCTCCATATAAACTGTAACTACCTACTATTAAAACAAAGTCTTACCTTTGTGACTTTTGTAAACTGAGTATTGTTAAAAAATGCAGTAATCATCTCGGTAATCATATTTTCGTTTACAATGGGTAAAACACTTGATTCAACTTTTATAAATCCAGCTGATTTATATTAATACTAAAATTAAACCAAAACAAAAAACTAAGGTTAGATGTTACTGATGTTAGGTGGTGTCAATTTAAATGTCACTTAGATGTGCGTTCACTTCGACATTCTGTGTGTTGGTTTGTTCGTTGGCTTGGTTTTGTATAACAAAAAAAACTTCGACACAAGATGATTGGTCTATTCCCGATGACGTATAATTTCAAATTTTAAATTTCAATTGGGCTTAATTTAAAAACTCTTGGCTTTTTTAACGAACTGACTATTTAGAATAACTTGTATAGCGACTAACTATTACAATATAATTTATAAAACAGCATATCTCGCATGTGAACATGGCCCATTATATGGTATTTTATTGTTTCGATGAAATTTAATTGGATTGCTCAAATTAAAAAGTTTTGCATCAGACTCCGTTGATTTTTAAACATAATTTAAGTCCAATTAATTTAAAGAAAATAGCTAAATTGGTACGATATTTTAATACATGTTTTGAATCAATGTGGGGGCGTTTTTTTGGGGCGCTAAATCCAAATTTTACGTCAGAAACGACTCCCTGAACACCTGGTTCACCGGAACCTGGACGCGGACCTCATCTCCGCAAGTTTTCCTCACATAATCGAAAAAGACGAACCGAAAATCGTTATGGGGGATGTTTTGGGGCGCTGAATTCAAACGTGACATCGGTGAATAACCCCCGGACACCTGGTGCGCCGAAACTTGCACGTGGACATCATCTTCGAGAATTTTCCTGACAAGATCGCCAAAAAAAACTCGAAAATCATTGTAGAGGCGTTTTTTGGGCGCTTAATCCAAATTTCACGTCGAAAACAATCCTCCAAACACCGGGATATGGCCCTAAACATCGTCTCCGAGGGTTTTCCTAACACAAGAAATCATTGCGCTAATCGGGGAAGTTCAGCAAACGTCCGTTTTAGCGAGAATATGGCATTACAAATACAAGATAAATTTTTACAAAGTTAAAAAAAAAAATAAAAATAAGATTATTGAAATACTCCGGACCAAACTGATCATAGCCGAGATAGTTTTAGACCAATGTGCAGCGGATGCTAATAGTTCGATTGACAAAAACCGGTTGACAGAATAAACTCGAAGAAGTATATTCTTCGCGTAGCTTGTCTCATATGCCACTTGTTGCTCCATGCAATAACGGGGTGCGATATCGTTCCAGCAACGTACTACCAGGGAAAAACTAAATTTTTTAAGACCTTCCGGAAATTCCCAGACCTTCAAGCTCATGTTACGAAGTTCAAGGAAGCTGGTTTGTCAAGCAATGCAATTTTTGAGAACGGAGAGCAGCTAATCCTGGCAGTGTACAGTGCTTCACTGTCATTCAGGAAGCCTAATGTTCCTGACGAGTACAAGCCAGCTGACCAGCTGACCATGGACCCAACAAAATGGTGGAGAAAGAAACTCGATACACTGGCCCCTGAAGAAATGACACAAGCCTGCGCTCAAGAATAATATGGAACTAATCTTCTGTGGATGCGCAGGAGATTGTAATATGTTGTCCTGTAGGAAGCACGGTCTCCCTTGCAATCTTGCCTGTAAAATTTGTGTAGACTCAACTTGCAACAATACTAAAAGATATTCAGTTGAAAACGTTATTGCGGCAGAGAGAGAGGCCTTAGATGAGGAAGATGTTCTACTTATTATAAATATGTCAGTCGATGACGAAGGAAATTATCAGACTAGCGATGTGTCACTTGATAAACAATTTGATATTTAGTTATTAATTAATGAGGTAAGGTAAAGTTACAGTTAGATTGTATTTGAATTGAGTTTAATAAAAAAAATTTAAACGCCAATTACATAAATATTGACTTTCTGTTAATCCGATTTCTTTCCTCCTCATATAATTTTACTAGAATTAACAATTCGACACAGCTTTTGCAATATTGACGCCCGTCTCTAAAACATCAGGATCGGTTGACATTCATGGGAATGACATCGATGTTAGGATAAAGGTTCTGGTGCACCAGGTGTTAGGAGAGTCGTTTTTGACGAGAAATTTGGATTCAGCGTCTCAAAGAACTCCTATAACGATTTTGAATTCGTCTTCTTTAATTGTGTGAGAAACCCACTCATAGACGATGTTCAGGCCCAGGTTCCGGTGTACTAGGTGTTTGAAGAATCGTCCCCCATGTCCCCCCATCCTGAAGCCGCCCATGGGCACGGTTGTGGTTAATTTTGTTAAGACAGTGCACTAAGATTGTAAATATAGTTTAGTGTTGGGTTTGCGGGATTAAATAGAGATAAATGTTGCCGGCATTTTATTCCATAACAACGTAAAAAAACCAGTGCTCCCTCATCGCAGTTCGATACAGTCGAAGAAAAGGGTAAAAAAATGTAAGGGGAAAGCATCTATCTTCTACGAATATCCAAAATGATAATCATTTTCACATAAAGTTTTTTCAAAGTATTTTTTTTTATACCTTTACTACTATTTGTTGTACCTAATCCAGAAGACATATTTTGTAAAAGCCTCGCTTCCCGTGTTTTCTTCCCGCTTTTCGGCGTGCCACTTTCCTCGGAGGTATTTCCCAAACTGGAGTATTTTGTCTTTTTGTTATACTCTTCGTTTTCCGGAATTTTTTCCTAAAATAAACAAATTAAAAAAAATATATTATCAACAAAGCGTTCCAAATTAACAGTGTAATTTTTTTTAAAATTTGATATGGCTTTGTTCAAATTTATTGAAATCAAATAGAATAGAATAGAATAGAGAAGTCAAGTAAAAGGTGTTTTTATTATGAATTTAACACTAGTTGACTTGATAGCAATCAAATACACCAATGAGAGTAAAAATTACAAAAAAAAACACAATAAATCCTACAAAATAAAACACAAGTAAAATTTATCCAAAGTTGTCGCTAACCAAAAACAAAATGGTACAGAAAAGCCCGTCATATCAACAATAAACTTTTTCTGTGAAAAACTTCTGCGCAACATTTCGACGCATTTTTAGTACTAATTTAAAAAAAAAGAGAACAAATTCTAATTAAATTAAAAAATTAATTTAGTTTAAAATTTAGTACCTAATTTAGTATCGTAACTAACAGCCTTTTTATTTAAATACCATACATTGTACCATGAATCATATTTACTTTTAAAAAATGTCCTTTATCTCTCATCGAATTGCCATATAAAAAAAAAGGTTTAATTCCCTGTTTCATCAAACCTATTACCAGCTTTAAGAGCTTCAATTTTACAAAATCCCAAAATTCCACCCCTAACCGATATTGGACACGCAGTTATTTCGGTGTTACACCGATTCCACATTAATGTTTGCTAATAACTATTCACCTGATATTCCGGGGGATCATAACTTATTATGGAAATTGGTCTGTTCATGGCTTCCTGATAGCTCCGCTTGTCTCTCGGGAATCCGACGATGGTTTGTTGGGATGATTTTGAAGTCTTCTCAGCTGAAATTACGAGTTTTCGGTTAGGCAACTTTGTGTAGCTCTGTTCTAATTATTATGGATGTTTTAAAATGAATGAGGCGAAATTTCGGAGAAAAGTTTGTTGGGGCGCTAATTAGGTTGCGGTTTACATTATATTAATCACAACTAATTATTGTTAAATATATTTTGTAGAATAGGCTATTCTCCGATCTGCACATGTATATTTAGTATTTTATGCTGATAACTAATTTAATAACCATATAATTAGAGTTGCAATATTACAAATTAGTATTAGTAATCCAATGCACCGCATAACAATATCTCAATATTGCACTTGTAACAAAATAAAGTTAACAATATTGCAATCTTTGTTCATTTTAATTTAATTGTTAACATCTACCCAATTCCTCAGTATGAGTCGCCAATGAATATTAATGGCATTTTTTAAAATGTTGACTAACAGTTTTTGGTTTTCAGAGATCAATTTAAAACATAGATTTTGGTTGATTCCATAAAATAAAAGAGAGTAGGAATTATACAAGGTTGGGCAAAATTGACAGAACACCTGATTTGTGGCTCATTTATGGATTTTACCTCATGACCTCATTAAATATTTTCGTATTCACTATTTAATAACGTTTGAGGATTTTCGTCATCATATTTAGTTTAGTTTCGTTCAATTGCAAGTCTATTCATTTCACTCAAACTAGCCCAATAGATAACTCTCAACATTTGATAATACTGAGAATTTTTATTAAATTAGATCATGGTTGAACTGGGTAAACCTAAAAGAATTACATTATTGATGATTATTGGGTTTGGAAACAGAAAGAGAAATCTGCAAGAAGCTTGTGATTTGTTTAATGAAATATTTCCTGACAGGGGATTTCCCCGAATTCTAAATCTATGGTATCCACAAATTTAAGGAATTTCAATGAAATATGAAGTGTGGAAAACAATCCCAGATCTGAACGGAAGAAGCCACTGGTGAAGAAAATGCACTTAACGTGGTTCTAAGTATACAGGAAGAACCAAAATCTTTCCCATACTTGCATTAGACAATAATATAAGCGAGAAAACTGTAAGGAAGATTCTGATACTCAATAAATCTTATTCCTATAAAGTGTAATTACATCAAGAATTAAATAAAGATGACTCAAGTAGGCGAATGCAATTCTGTCAGGTATGTCATTAATGAATATAATATGTTAATGAACATTGTTTTTTGTCTCAGTGGATTTGTAAATAAACATAATTGTCGATATTGGTATGATTATAATCCTCACTGGATGGAAGAAGGTACATTCAATATACATAAAGGTTAAATGTTTGAGCTGGTAACTTAGAGGAAGAATTACTGGACTATTGTTTGTGAGAACTCCGAACGGTGATTGTTATTTGCAACTGCTTTAAGACCAGATAGTTCCAGAGTTAATTCGTTTATTTCCAATTCGTAGAAATCACTTAGAACTTTCTGATGAAATTTGGTTCCAGAAGATGGTGCTTCTTCTAATTTCGATACTGGTACCTGAACACAATATTTCCGCAGATATAGGTGGGTCGAAAATGACACATTAAGTGACCGACACGGTCACCGGATTTATCTTCACTGGATTTTTTCTTTGGGACCATTTGAAATTAGTAAATTATAAGGACCTGTCACATTCGCTGGAGGAATTGAAGGACAAAATAAGAATTGCTGTTCAAGAACTAACACAAGTGTATCAAAATGCCTTAGGATTATTTGTTGATAGACTAGGATATTGTCGAACAGAGGATTTGTGTACTTTCATTGATGTAAAGTAGGTAATCATTATTTTTTATTAAATAATTGTTTACTTTCTAATTTAATATGAATTTAGAGACCCTCAAACTCTACAATGGTGGATGCAGAAAAAAAAAAGATCTGTCCGAAAACAAAAATATAAATAAATATAAAAATTTTATCCGATAATGTCATGTCTTGATAAATATGACGGATGATGAAAATCTTCAAGTGTCATTAAATAGTGCATAAAATATACAAAAAACTTTATTCGGGTTAATTTTCAATAAAATCCATAATTGAGCCACAAATCGGGTGTCCCGCCAATTTTGTTTAATCCTGTTATAGGTTTTTCAGTTGATAAGGTTGTTAGTAAAGGAGCAGCAAGAGTTCTAAAACAAGCCCCATATTAAATCCCATAAGAAATCGCTAAGGTGAAAAATAGCAAAAAACGTAAATATCAAGGTCACGCGTCGAGAATCGAAGTCTGGCTTATCATTAAATATAATAACGTTAGATAACGTCAAGAATCCAAGATAGCGGCAATAGTTGACGTAAACAATGAAAAATATACGAGGTAAACGAAAAGCCAAAAGGACCTAAGCGTGTATCACGTGGTCCGATTTAAACGGGAAAAACTGTATTACGTAGAGAACGATTAACGTTGAACAGAAAAATCATGTGTAAAGCCACAAGGGCCTTATCGTGTACCTCGGGTATTACTGGTCCGATTCAAACGGGAAAAACGGTATTACGTAGAGAACGTGGTATAGATTAACGTACAAGAGAAAAATCATGTGTAAATCCAGAAGGGCCTTAGCACGTATCTTTACTGCTAGTGGTCCGATTCAAACGGGGAAAAACGGCATTATGTAGACAACATGGTATAGATTAACGTTGAACAGAAAAAACATGCGATTGCCAGAAGGGCCTTAGCGTGTATCTCAGCTATTGTTGGGCCGATTCAAACGGGAAAAACGGTATTATGTAGAGAACGTGGTATAGATTAACGTAGAAAAGAATTTTTGCGTAGAACGAAAAGCTAGAAGGGCCTTAGCACGTATCTTCACTGCTATTGGTCCGATTCAAACGGGAAAAACGGCATTATGTAGAAAACACCGAAACGTTTGACATTTCGCGTTTGACGTTTCACGTTTGACGTTTTACGTTTGACGTTTCACGTTTGACGTTTGACGTTTCACGTTTCACGTTTTTTAAAATCTGAGGAAGATTTTGGTTTGAAGACACATGCGTCGAAAGAGAAGTTAACTACGGTATCGTTGCGTGTACATTGTTTTGTATTCATAGTGACGAAAGCATATGAAAAGATTCATAGTGTATCAGAGATAGAATTAGCTTGTATCATTTTTTGTATAGAGTAGTTGCGTTTTTATTTGTTATGCGGGAAATGTATGGTTGAGTTAGATCATTAAGCGTTAACATCGGTTTTGAAAAATAGGTTTGACAATAGAAAATGTATACGTGGATTCTAATAATACATGAACATTATTTTGAAATACGATACATTCCTAAGAAAATAGTGACAGTTTTAATTGGAAGCGTCGCAGGACTCAATATTTCCTTTAATACTACAAGATAAGCTGTTTTTGAATGTTTGTATTATAATAAAAAATAGCTATATAAAAAATATTGATATACATATGACAAAAAATAAATAATTTTGAAAGCGGTTCTGTGTAGATGATATAATCGCAATCTGTGTGAACACGAGACATTTTTTTTAAACATTTTTCTTCGCCTATAAGTACTTTAACAGAATTACTAGTTAATAAAAATGTTCTAGATAAATGTTTCGAAAATTAGTTTCGATAAGAATTATTTCAGAATCAACCTCATACCTGCTCTCAAAGCCTCCTCCTCGGCGTGTCGCTGCATCACCTCCCTAACAATCTGTTCCAGTCTGGAATTATTTTCGTTTTCCTTTTGTTCCGTGAGACGGCCCTTTCTCACGAGGTCCCGGATTCGCTGAAAGCTCTGCGCTAACTTAGATTCATCGCCCACTTCCTATTAGAATTCAAGTACATTATTGTTAATCTGTTTGTGACAACCAGTTCAGATATTACCGAGGTTCAAATAAATCAAAATTAGGCCGGGCGTTGGTGTTTGAAATCGAAACTAATCGTAACTGACTGAATTCGGTGATTTATTTATGAATTTTCGATAAATATTTGAAGAACGAGCAATTATTAATCATTATAGGTGTTTGTACCATGTACGGGCTTTAAATTATATAATTTACGAGTATATCACATAATATGAAATAAGTTAAAATATATATTAAACATATTATTTATATACGCCACAAAAAAGAAATTGTATACAGGACGTCTCAAAAGTCATAGATAAAATTTAAAAAGAAGGGTTTGACCCTGACTAAAAATATGAAAACAATATTTATCGTGGTCTCTTCATATTTTTAGTTATTTAGTGCGGATCTAGAAAGTCTTTTTTGTTGAAATTACGTGTGTACATTCATAAAACTGTAAGTGCATATTGTGATTAATTTCTAATTCAGTTTAGCGAATATACGTTAATTAATTAAATTTACAAATAATATCATAGTCGTTATCAGTAAGCAGTTTCTTTCGTGGTGGCGGCCACATGCCAGCCGTATCTACGGACTGCCAGGGGCGTATCTAATTCATTGAGTACCTTAAATCTTTAAATTAATATGGAATCTAACAGTAATTCTCAAATATCTTTCCAAACTCATAGTCAATCTAATGTTTTAAAAACTTATTCTTCAGCTGTGTCACAGACTCAATTCGCGTCCAAAGAACAAGCAATTGCTTTTAGTTCTCTAGACAATACTCGGTTGTAAAATTACCTAATTCCCCTTGGATCCTAAATCTTACCAAATAATATCATATTATCTTCGCGATTATCCAACAACCGGATTTGTATGTACCTGATAAACAAGCAGATTGTTGACGAATTCATGGATAATAGCGGTTATATTGAGATAAAAGGTGAGCCAGAAGACTTATAATACCGGCTGTGAGACTCGTTCTGTCTAATGTTTGCCCCACTATACCACACAATTTGTTAATAGAAGAATTACAGAAAGTTATTTTAAATCTAGTTTCACCTGTAACTTTTTTAAAAATTAGCTCTTCTCTACCTGAATATAATCACATACTGAGTTTTAGAAAACAAGTCTACGTGAGTCCACATAATTTTTCTCTACCTGATTCATTTACACTGGACTTTGATGACACCACATATCGAATATTTTTATCTCAAGATGGTATGGTTTGCTACAATTGTGAAAAACCTGGACAGAAGCCATCACTCAATACTTACCTATGGAGCAAAGTCCACCATTAAAAGACTCGGGTCACTCAAAGCGCAGCATTAACGAATTTCTTTCACCAGAGACGGATGTAATTGACAAGGAAAACAGCATCTTCACCCATCCTAAGACAAAACCTAAATCTAAAAAAAAAAACGAAGTCCAACTCTTCACCTCCAACAGTTGTCTCGAGTAATACCAATATACATCGACTGGAGCCAGCCAAAGACTTTATCATTAACCACTCTTCTCCTTTTATACTTAATTATGACCAACTTCAGTTACTTTTAACGAATGTAACTTGTTCTTCAGATCCTATCAACGTTGTCCAAGAATATTCTTTAGATATGATAGCCGTGACACATATTTTTTTAAAAATCTAACCCCATATAAAAGATCCATCCCCGAAGAGAAAATTCACAACTTTCAAACGAAAAATCTTTGCCTATCTTGGCAATGACGTCTCGGGATCAGATAGTGACGCATCACATCTAAGTCAGTAAAGATACTAACATCTAATTATTTATTATTTTACAGAATTCAAAACATTACTTCAGTGGAATATCGATGGATTCTTTCATCGACTTGCAATGTTACAAATCCTTATCGACATAATCTGCATCCAAGAAACCAATCTAAATCCACAGAAAAATTATAATTCAAAGGGCTGTCATTGTTTTCGAAAAGACAGAACAACCAATGCAAATTTTTCTTCCGGAGGCGTAGCTACATTGATCAAAAATTCGCTCGAAGCAAAGGTATTTCCTGTTACCAGCAATCTTGAAGCCATTGTTGTCGAAATATCTGCATCTACTCCATACTATATCTGTAATATTTACCTTCTTTTAAGTTCTTCAGCAACGTTTAATGACTTCAAAAGCCTTATGGACCAAATACCATCTACCCACGTAATTATAGGAGATTTTAACGCGCACAATATAATCTGGGGCTCCTCGTCTACTGATGTCAGGGGCAAAACAATAGAAAAACTCATCAAACATTGCCAACTGAATTTTCTTAATGATGGATTACCAACTAGGTTTAACATAAACACCGGAGAATCATCAGCAATCAACCTAAGTTTTTGTGATCCTGCCTTAACACCACGGTTGTCCTGGGAAGTTCTCCATTATACTTATGGTAGCGACCATCACCCTATTTTAATTAAAAATAATTCTAGCTGCATAATAAGCAACAATATCGACGAATCTTTGTCGAACTTCAACAAAATTATTTTAGAAGCCGCTGATTTATTTATTGGAAAAACTAAAATTGTGAAAAACCATGTTCCTGTACCTAGGTGGAATAAAAACTGCGAGAAAGTAATCCGAGAAAGCAAAACCGCCTTAAATAAGTATAAAAGACATAAAACACTGGAAAATAAGACAGAATTCAAAAGACTTAAATCAACAGCACACCTTACGATCAATAAAGCAAAAAGGACAACCTGGACTCAATATGTCTCAGAAATCAGCTCAACTCCTATCACTGAACAGAATCAGAAAAATTTCAGGCCTAAAATACACTTCAAAAATTTCTAGTTTGAAAGTTAATGATAGGGTATTAACTTATCCACCGGAGATAGCAATCGTTTTAGCCACAAATTATAAAAAAATGTCATCGAATGATAACTACAATTTAGAATTTCTCAATAACAAATTAGTCACCGAAAACATAGACCTCTTTTTAGACCAGAATAATGATGATGATGATGTTCCTTTAAACCGCCCTCACTATATTTGAATTAAGTAATTCTCTTTAAGATCTTAAAAATACCAGCCCCGGACCAGACGATATTCCAGTAATATTTTTAAAACAACTTCCCCATTCGGAAAAAACATATCTTCTCAAACTATTTAATTTAATATGGCACCAACACCTCTTTTCATGTCTATGGTCTAAAGCTATTGTCCTTCCTCTTCTAAAAATCAGAAATTTCGTTTAGAACCTGAATCTTACAGACCCATAAGTTTAACGTGCTCCATGAGTAAGCTACTAGAAAAAATAATCAACCATAGACTCATGTGGACTTTGGAAAATTCTAGCCATTTAATCTCTGAGCAAAACGGTTTTAGACAAAACCGATCTGGGATCGATAATATTTTGGATCTAGAAAACGAAATTCACAAATCTCTAGCAACAAAACAAACTTGTATAGCAATATTTTTCGACATAAAAAGAGCCTTTAACACCTGCTGGAGATTTAACATTCTCAGAAAACTTCACTCGTGGAATATTCGTGGCAAATGTAAATGTAAGAGTAAATAATTACTTTTCGAAAAATCAAAACGAAGACAATGAAACTCCACAAGGGTCAATAATTAATCCTACACTGTTCTGGTCGCTATAAATGACATAATAAAAAGCTAAACAACACCTTTGAAGCACGCTTATATGCTGATGACCTGATAATCTATATTAAAGGAAAAAATGTGGATATTATGTCAACTTTTCTGCAAAACTTTTTGATAAAATTGGAACAATGGTCTCTTGATACAGGATTTATTTTTTCCGTGACAAAAACCGTTGGAATTGTATTCTCCAAGAAAACTTCGGTTATCTTTCCAGTTTTACAGTTATTTAACCCAAATATATCTTTCAAACCATCAGTAAAGTTCTTGGGAATGTGGTTCGACCAAAAGCTATCCTGGAAAGAACACATAAAACATTTAACCCTTTGCTGTCATAAGAGACTAAACATAATGACAAACAGAAACTGGGGCTCAGACTATCATACCTTACTAACCATTTATAAAACTTTAATAAGATCAAAGATTGACTACGGGTCTATTGCATATGGATCAGCCAGCAAAACCACTTTGAAACTGTTAGACACTGTACACAATGCTGCTCTTCGTATTGCTCTGGGAGCCTTTCGCACTTTCTCTATTGAAAGTATCTACTGTGAAACTGGAGAACCATCCTTGCATTACCGGAGGATGTATCTATCATTATCACTTGCTATTTCCATAGCTTCTAATAGAAATAAGCCACTTTTCAATAATATCTTCATTAAAAAATATATCAATTATTTTAGCAATAAGCCACACACATCAAAACCTTATTATGAGCGAATTCGAAGTTACCTTAGTCACCTAGAGATTGACTTTCCAAAAGTATTCCCATTCGATCTTGACCATTCTCCTCCCTGGATCATTAAAATTCCTCAAACCAACACGAACCTCTGCCAATATAATAAACATGAAATTCCCTCAAGTATTATAAAAGGCAACCTTAATAATATTTTAGACAAATATCAGAACTATCAAAAGTTTTTTACTGATGCTTCTTAAGATGACACTGGTGTTGGGACAGCATTTGTAACACTTCAAGACAAATTCTTTTTCAAACTTCCGTCAACCTCTAGCATTTTCACCGCTGAACTCTTCGCTATCTACAAATCTCTTCAGCTTTTAAATAAATCAAATATTTCCAAAAGCTTAATACTATCAGACTCTCTTAGTGCAATATTACCATTGCACATATATACCCGAAAACCCCCATTAAAAAAATGATAAAGTCCGAACTACTGCAGGCTCAAGAACACTCAAGATGAATACACATCATATGGATACCCTCCCATATCGGAATTAAAGGCAACGAGACAGCAGATCAGTGTGTGCGTAATGCAATGAGTGAAGTGTCGAAAATAGTGTCTCACAGTGTCGCGAATGATCTTAAATCGTTCTTTAAAAAGAAAACATTTTGTTTG